ACGGACGATGGAGACGGACGACGACGACGGACAATCACTCATATGATAAGCTAAAAACATATATATGTATATTTGTTTATCTTACAAAAAGTGCATGCTATACTTTATCCCAGGTAGGTACAAGTACTTGTACAAGACAAAATTTGATTGGTCATCAAGTTACTTTAAATGTGTGTTCTCTAATTGGCTTGTCAGTTAGGTGTTAGAGTCAGGTAGCCAATAAGGTACAATCTTGCAAGTTGCATCGTCATAACTCTTTCAAAGAAAGATTGAACTGGAATTATGTCCTTTTAAGATTATTATGGAAAAGTGAAAATATATGAATCTTACTCTGAATAGATCCAGCACTAGCTTTTCGACGAGTTGTCCCAGGGCTTTTTAGTAATACACGCTTTGAACGTCTTGGGGAAGAACGATATGGAGTCACTGTCTTGCACTCTGAAAAAAACAAATATGTGAAAAAAAATGAACAACAGTATATATTTTGTCTTTATAAATGTCATAAAATCAAATCATTAAGCAATTTACAGGAGGGGGAGGGGGCTTTTTGTACCTGGATATTTGAAAATTGGAACAAGCACCTTGAAAGAAAATCAATAAAATTCAATAAAAATGACAATGCACAATTCAGCGAAATATTTTATTTTTTACAATTATGTGTTAGGTCATTATATTGCGTATTCACCTGGAAAGATTGCAATCAATATCCCAATATTTCCAAAAAATATTACAGCGATTTCTATTTTAATGTTTGTATTTGATATAAATCATACAGATGCCAGATAATCAGATTTATCATACATATTGTAATCAATAACTATGTTGTGGCATGTAGCACCATGAAAAGTAGAATTGCCAATTTTTTTTTTTAGTTTCATTCAGGTTTAAATCACCTTATCTATAGTATAGTATAGTATGATTTATGCCACAAAGTGAGATACAATGATAGCACAACAGGAAATACAGACCGCTCTACGATAATAAAGTCTGCATTGTAATTACTGTCTGTTGATTTAATATCAGACGACTGACTACAAAATGACGACATACAGAAATTAACTATATTGACTACAAATATGTCTACATGCTATCTATAGTGCAATGGAAAACAACATTGAGCAAACTAGTATTGATTTCATTAATACATGATGAAGTTATTGTACAATATGTTCAAAGATAGTTATATTTTAAGCGGGTCATCTTTACAAAAGCATAGTAGACAGATGCATTCATGTAGATTCTCTATGGATTTATTCACTGAAGTAAATTAAATATACAAATCATTCGGCATTGAATGCATAAAGTAAATTCTTTATCAAAACAACGGTAATGAAATCATGATTTCTATCTAGAGGCCGGATAAAACTGTAATTCCATAACCACATGATAGACTAGAATACGTGATGTCATGTATATTATATTATATTATTATATCACATGACCATGCAAGCCAATTGCATTTGCACATTAGAGGTAGATTGAGATTTTGCCATGGTTACCTCCATCCGAGTACCTTCCTCTTGAGGGCATAGGATACACAACAATATTCATGAATGACTAGTTTGCTTGCGTTCACTATTTGACCATCTCAAAAATACCATGATAAAAAACAAAAGAATTCTATCACTACACTTAAACTCTTTCAACTTGTAGATTTGTGTACTGCATACAAGCTCTATTAGGATGTCATATACATAGCAGTGTCACGTTTTCTGTCCTAAAATTTATTAGATACATTCCATTACAATATATTTCATTGTACAGTACATAGTACAGTCATAGTATTGACCGACACATAGCGTAGGTCGATGGTATGACGTACTGTCTGAGTGCATACTTTCGGTATCCTCGTAATAACCTTATTTAATATACATCTTTTCCTCCCAATGATACATCATGGGAATGCTGAAATTCAAAAAGTTTAGAACAGAATCAGTGAACTTATTTGTGTGGAGTCCAGTCAAACCCTGGGGCAGCCATGTTTGTTTTTATTATTAGAGGACGCTTACGCGCGTAATCATTCCACATTTGGAATTCGCATTTTGCATAAGGTAAAATAAAAATACCTCGTAAAATACCACAAAATTACGAATATAATGTATTATGTACATCTGTCACTGTAACGCCATAAAGTTGCCAAAATGTGACCTCAAAATAGCGCCAGACAGAAATGAAAATGTATCAAAGTGGCGCCTATACAAGGAATTATACAGTAAAAAGGTTTTTTCCACATGGTGAAGGGACAGAATAAGCTGGCTATATTGACTTAGACTTTAAATATTAAAATGAGATAAAATTACAGATTCTATATTTGTGATGGCAGGTTAACATGAATATCACTCAAGTCAGTAAACAATAGAACATTCTAGACATCAAATTAAAACCAACCTAGGAGGTATCAATGATGTCATCACTGTCCTAAAGGTCATAATGTAATGTTTCTTTCTATACAAAGTCTTGTGTGCTTTTTGACTACAATGACACATGTACATTATAAATTTTATTAAAAAAAACAATGTAACAATGAGAATACGATGAGATGACACACATGTGAAAGACTCCCTAGTTTAATGATAGGAATGTCTGTTGTTTATTTACTCGTAATATCAGCAATCCTGACCAAGGTAATTGCAAAATGAGAGGCTACAACTCAAATTTATGACTGCAATTCTACTAACTATTTTCATAGGACACTTTAAAATATTGAAAATTGAGAAAGATACATTGTAAGTATAAGCGTTATAATTCCTGTATGTCAAAAACGATGACATTCTTAATCGTGTGAAAAGGGATACATAGCAAATACTGCAATGTACTAAATATAGATTAATTTCATTATTTCTGTGAATTCTTAATTAAAATTTGCTGGTAATATAATTTTCAAAATATTTTACTATAATTTAACATAAAGTTGGATATATCATCATAGTCATGTTACTTTCAAACCTAATATACACCTTTGTTTAAAATATTTATTTCCTAAAAAACATTTGAATGACTAACTTTAATAATTGAAATAATTAGGAATGAATAGTACACAGAGAAAAAATCTTAATGAGTTAAGTTTGATATAGTATGGAAGATCGTTATGACAGCATAGTCTGAACATCATTAACTGCCGCACCTGCTATCCTGTCAAGTTCAATCATTTCATTAACTCAGTAAAATATTCATAATCCTCACACAGATATGAATTTAAAGTGATTACCATGTTGGATAATCCACTTAACAAATGACATTTGTGTCATTCATCTTGTCAACAATTGATATCTTGTCAGACGCTTACATTAAAAATGACAGTGGGTAATGACAATAGCTGTATCCCTGGGTAACGGTTTACAATACATGTCCCTAAATGCTGCATGCTGTGTGCTCTTATAAAGATACGTAAATTTCACAATGCAATGGCAAAGAATAGATGTACATTACATGGCATGAATGTACAGCAATTCAGCAAAGTTTATGACTAACTGAAATCTCCAGAAAGAAAACATAAATTTTGAAACTTAGTTGTGAGAATTTAAAATGCCCACCAGTGTAGGGTATACACAAACAGACATGCTTGGGTACACTTTAATTTTATTTACATTTTGGAATATTTTCTATGTGACATTTCACTCAGCAAAAAAAAATTCTAGAGCATTTTAATTTTCTGCATTTAAGTCACCAGCACCTGGGGTACAATAATTGAAATTTCCCCAAATGGTCCTGAAATGAAGAATCTAAAACCAAAGTAAACTCACCGCCATTATCAAGATCAAAGTCATCATGAGAATATTTTTCTGGTCCATATGCAATGAAAACATCATCTTCTTTGAAGAAATCTTGAAGACAAGCAACCTAAAATAATAAAGAAATATACACTCTATTAGTTTTATGGAATTATTGTAATATCAGTATATTGTAATATCAGTTTATTGTAATATCAGTTTATTGTAATATCAGTTTATTGTAATATCAGTTTATTGTAATATCAGTTTATTGTAATATCAGTATATTGTAATATCAGTATATTGTAATATCAGTATAATGTAATATCAGTATAATGTAATATCAGTATAATGTAATATCAGTTTATTGTAATATCAGTTTATTGTAATATCCGTATATTGTAATATCAGTTTATTGTAATATCAGTTTATTGTAATATCAGTATATTGTAATATCAGTATAATGTAATATCAGTATAATGTAATATCAGTATATTGTAATATCAGTATAATGTAATATCAGTATAATGTAATATCAGTATAATGTAATATCAGTTTATTGTAATATCAGTTTATTGTAATATCAGTTTATTGTAATATCAGTTTATTGTAATATCCGTATATTGTAATATCCGTATAATGTAATATCAGTTTATTGTAATATCAGTATAATTGTAATATCCGTATATTGTAATATCCGTATATTGTAATATCCGTATATTGTAATATCCGTATATTGTAATATCCGTATATTGTAATATCCGTATATTGTAATATCCGTATATTGTAATATCCGTATATTGTAATATCCGTATATTGTAATATCAGTATATTGTAATATCAGTTTATTGTAATATCAGTATATTGTAATATCAGTATATTGTAATATCAGTATAATGTAATGTCAGTATATTGTAATGTCAGTATATTGTAATTGTAATATCAGTATATTGTAATATCAGTATAATGTAATGTCAGTATATTGTAATGTCAGTATATTGTAATTGTAATATCAGTATATTTTAATATCCGTATATTGTAATATCCGTATATTGTAATATCCGTATATTGTAATATCAGTATATTGTAATATCAGTATATTGTAATATCAGTATATTGTAATGTCAGTATAATGTAATGTCAGTATATTGTAATTGTAATATCAGTATATTGTAATATCAGTATATTGTAATATCCGTATATTGTAATATCCGTATATTGTAATATCCGTATATTGTAATATCCGTATATTGTAATATCCGTATATTGTAATATCCGTATATTGTAATATCCGTATATTGTAATATCAGTATATTGTAATATCCGTATATTGTAATATCCGTATATTGTAATATCCGTATATTGTAATATCAGTATATTGTAATATCAGTATATTGTAATATCAGTATAATGTAATATCAGTATATTGTAATGTCAGTATATTGTAATTGTAATATCAGTATATTTTAATATCCGTATATTGTAATATCCGTATATTGTAATATCAGTATATTGTAATATCAGTATATTGTAATTGTAATATCAGTATATTGTAATGTCAGTATATTGTAATTGTAATATCAGTATATTGTGATATCAGTTTATTGTAACTCAGAATAGTAACAATCAGTAATACTATAAGCTCTGCTCGACTTTGTTGACAGCGGACCTAAAAAGCATCATTTTCACTGGCATTTAATTTTGAGGTTTTGAGTAATTTTACTGGGTTTTAAGTTTAAATGAGTTCTATTTTCATTTTTTATGTTCATGTGGATTTAATTTAAAACCCAGTGAATAATTAATGCATTTACAGTAACAAGTCAAGTTTATCCATGACCATGTTGCCTGTCTACAATATTCCCACAACATTTGTCGTCAAAATACTCCTCCTCCTTACAGGAATCTAGTATAGTCGCCTTCATTAACCAGACAAAAAATTAAATTAGACTGGTTGTTATAGAAACAATATTTTTTTTCAGTCAACAGTGTTTGGTTTAAAATAAAAAAAAAACTGTTGACTTATTAAAAATTGAATGTTTGTTCTCGTTATCTCAATTGTTCCATTAATAAAAATCAAACATGTTTGTTACTATGGCAACAAATGACACCATTTCAATTGTTTTTTACAAGAAAATGATAAGTGATTACAATTTCTACCTCCATGAATGAGTCATGTTGGTATGATTTATGTTTTAAGGGATTTAAACAGACTTAAATTATTGGGAAATTGAACTCATAGCTGGACCAGACATTAACAAACATGCCTACAAAAAAATTTTTATTTTTGCACACAATGCACTCTATGGCTATGAACTTGAGCAATATTTTCGCACCCAAAAAATGTTTTTCTGTAACTTTTTTGAATAAAATAGATAAATAAGTATAGATAAATGGATTTGATAATAATTTATTGACACAACACCGATATAGTACAGTACGGCAGTATGGCCACTAAATACAACTATTAACTACATTTAAAATAGAATTAACATATTTGGCTAAAGGAATCATAAGATGAGTATCTAAAGCACTTAACAAATAAATGAATTTACATTCTTGATTTAGTTTTTAAAATTCTGGGAAGCTGATATTGTGAAAAAATGTTTCTCTATTTGATTTAATATCCAAGTTTGAACAGTTCATAACATAGTGTTTTTCATCACCCACTTCAGATGAGTCGCACAATTTGCATATTCTTTGTTTTTGATGGATATTATTGTACCGCCCTTTCTAAATTGGCAACTTATGACTTGAAATTCTTAATTTTGTAATTGCTGATCTTATTTTATAATTCAAAATTACTTTTAGATAATTTTCAAATTTGTAATTTTTTTTTACCAGTGAGTATGTCTTTAATTTGTTGCCAACATTTTGATTGTTGTCTTTATTGAGTTGCTTCATCCATTCATTATTATATGTATCTTTAAGTTTATTTTGAATAATTCTTTTTATGTTTTTAGAATTTAGATTATTAGCTTCCCAGAGTTTGTTACATTTAAGTGTTTCTAACATGTGTTTTATAAAAGTTACAAATGATTTCTGTCCTTGTTCGTGTAGATCCAGTTCATTTTGTAAAGCTATCGTTGTCAGAATCAGGGACTTTCCATGCGCTATCCTAAATATAGTAATTGATTTTCAATTTGTATCTTTTTATTATCAATATAGAAACTCAATTTTTTTGTTCATAATCAGAATTTTTGTTTTCTTTACACTAACATTTAATTTCCAGCTTTTACAATAGTTTTGTAATTTAAAAAGGGAGTTTTGTAGTCCAGTTTTAGTCTTTGATAGGATGACTATATCATCAGCATACATAAGGCATGGAATTAGTTTCTTACCCAAAATTGGGCAATCAGCTGTATCTTTCCACAGTCAGCTGACGCACACGTGATAATAAAATAAATATGATATTTACTACATGGGGGCCGCCATCTTGAATGACGCATAAAACTAAATAAGAGACAAGTTGTGAA